TGTTTCAGGAGCTGTGATGCTGACAGCCTTCATGCCAAAACATTTCAACTTAAAATGATGGTTTAAAAATCCAAAAAGAAAGTACCACCTCTTTAAGGTTTTACATAGCAGAACGTGATCAAAACTATCCTGGGATGTATAATTATTTAAATTAAATCTCAAGTGTGAGAAAACTGATTTCACACGTTGTATCAGAAGCACGGCGGTGGAGGGGTGATGATCTGGGCTCATTAGCAGCTCCACTGAATGCTGGACCTTCTGGAGTCAGATGTGAGGCAACGACTGCAGACAAGAGCAGCAGAGATTGAGTCAAGACCAGCAAACAAGATCAACAGAAAAACACAAACATTTCCACAGACATCCAGTCATTTTTACTCTCGTTTAGCCAAATAAACGCCGTTCAAGGCTTTAAATGTTACTTTTGAAAAAATGACTGCTTAGAACTTTTAATCAATATCTATTATAGAAAATGTGTTTTTGCTTTTAAAGAACTATCATTTTATTCTTAATTTTAGGTTTTAAAACGACTTGTTGATTCAGTGCGAATTCAATCAGGTTTTTAGCTTCATTCATATTTCCCATCAGTTCTGCTTATCCTTCCTGTTCCTGCTGAAGGAAAGCACTCCCCAGAGAATGATGCTGCCACTGCCATGCTTTAATCTGGAGGCTCAACACAGATTTTCCCCCTTCGTGGCTCATTTAAAAGTGACTTTTTTCCTACAATAACTCCATAAATGATGATTCTCCCACCTGAGCTGCTGATCTGTGCAGCTCCTCCAGATTCACGTCCCACTTTGAGTTGGACTGACACAGAAATTCCCAATAAACTACATTGAATCTTAATAAAAGAAGAAGAAAAAAAATCATATGTGGTCGTTGTGTTAGTCTTGAATCCATCGCAGCTTCCAATTGACCATCTGAGCTGAAGTCTGTAACCTTCTCATGGATATCATAACTCTATTTGTGAAGAAGACGCCTCATCTTCCTCCTCCTCATCTTCCTCCTCAGATTTTCCAGCCTGTGGTCTGAATCACATCAGTGGCTCCTTTTCAAAACAGCCTCACAAACATCATGATTGATTCAGCTGCTATCCTCCAGGATCTCTCAATGCCTGCCTGGGCTGGAGATTAATTTCCTTTTCCTCGTCTTAATTTTTACCCATAAAAAGGCTAAATGTCAAGCATGCCTGCCTCCTAGTGACACGTCTATTCCAGCACATAATTACCATAAGGAAATTGATGCTTTAGTGTGCAGAGGGGAATTTAATTTACTCCGACATCCTCACAGCATAATGCATTCCTAAAGAAAGAGACTTTTTCACTTTGCAATTGACTTTTTAGATAAATTGGACTATTTAATGTGATTATCAGTGTTGAACGTCTCTGACTTATTAAGGTGTTGAAACCAATTAAGGGTTACATGCTGCTGGTGCTTCCAAATGTGAGACGGTGAATACTGCTTAAAGATCCATGAAATAAGAACCATCCTGAGCCTTTTGTTCGCTAGTCGACCGTCACTGCTACCTGATGATGTTTTGAGGCCTGCAAGCTGCTGGTATTAATTACAGCAACATGCTTTCCATGAGTTCAACCTGAGGAAACACGGAGTTTAGCGCACTTTGATTGCATCTGATGTAAAAACGTGACCTGAAAAACGTTCGGAGATCAGATCCTCGGCGCCCGAAGAGCAAAAAACGCCAATAATGGAGACTTTTCCTAATATTTGCTGAGTCACGCTTCTCTTCTGCTGTATTTTTCGCACCTCTTCATGTTGAAGTGAGAAAAAAGGTGAAGCTTTGAGGAAGTGTTGCTGCAATTCCTGTTCTGGCCGTGAAGACATGGCGGACCACAGGGTGCTCCTGCCCAAGTTCCTCCTTTTGTAACCAACCGCTTGAATGTTGTGCTTCTCCGGAGATAAGGGCAGCCTCCCATGAAAGGTGACTCAGCAGCCGAGCTCACACAGCTTCTCCTGAGATAAGAGCGCAGCCGGGGGCCAGAGGACAGCGGGATTATGGGAAAGAAACAGTCACAACTGGAGAAAAGTGTGAAACTGCTGCTTGTTTTGCAACAAGCTGAGGATGTAACTGGAAGCTTCAGGCGCTAATTTAGTCATTTTGAGACGTTACGGCGCTTTGCAAAAGTATTAACATCCCTTAAAGTTTCCAACTTTTGTCAAGTAGCATCCATATACTGCATAACAGCAACTGAAATCCAACACAACCAACCACCTTGAAATATCATCTAATTGGTAAATAAAGTATCCATGTGTGTAATTTATGACTGGGGCTTTAATGTGCTAATTTTGATTAATATATTGCATAAAAATGTATTTGTTTTCCTTTTCAAAATCCCAAACCAGAAATTCTATCTTCACATGTTTCTGGTACATCTGTAAATCTGACGCACAAGCAACATCAGTCCAGTGATGAACTGGAGACATGTAAAGACTATTAATGTGTTCAAGTTGCGCTGAAAGGAGTTAGCCTTTTAGTAGCATCTCAATGCTAAACACGTAGCATCTCAATGCTAAACACGTAGCATCTCAATGCTAAACACGTAGCAGCAGCACCGACATCCTCAATGTCCGCAATCCACACTTCTAAAAACTTCCATGAATGATCAGGAGCTCCTGAGGAACTGAAAAGCTGAATGAATAAATAACATTTTGCACCAATCTGACGGTTTAATAACCTAAATAACATATTAAAAACAACAAATATCTTTGTTTTTGAGCTCATATGTCTGTTTAATCAGTAATTTTGCAGCAAAAAAAGTTTTTGAATTAAAAATGTTGTTCATTTTCTGAATATATGGTTTTCAATTAAAATGTGATTACTTCAAATTAATTAATTACAGACCCAGCAGGTAAATCATTTTAAAATAGCAGATAAAGGGACATTGTCATCTTGGAGTCACAGAAAATGTGGCTGAGATTCAACTTTCTGACCTACAAGCACAAAAGTGGCACACGGTGGTGGCAGCATTATGCTATGGGGATTTGAACAATGACTCATGAAGACGGATGGGGGTAAATAAAGGCTGGAGGAGGATAATGACCTTTGACATCAAGCTGGAGCAACAACATCCCAGCATATCCATGTGTTGGAACGACCTTGACCTCATTACAGCTGTAATGAGACACAATGAGACACAGACACTCTTCATCCAATGTCAAATGACCGTTAGTTATAGCTGCTGCAAAGAATTGACTCAAAGATTCTAGGTACAAATAAATGCCTGCCGCACTTTTCAGATTATTTGCGAGAAAAAAAACCCATAAAAATGTGTTGTTTTTTAAAATTTTAACTTCACAGTTAGACAGTGTTTGTGTTGCTCCATCAGGAATGTGAACATTTACAAACCACAGTAGGGAAAAAGTCCATCATGGAAAATGAAGGGAAATATTTAGAAATGATGTTTTGGTGGGTAAATGCTAAAACACAAATCAATGGATGAGGAAAATATCCTTTGCTCCAAAGTCTCATTCTCAGCTTTCAGAGCTGCATGGCAGGTGGAGGTGGTCGCGTTCGCAGGCAGGAAGCTCTGTGCATGAAGCTCTGTGCATGAAGGTTGTTATAAATACTCAACCCTGATGCAAAAGGTGGAATGCCTGCAGTAACGTTGAGCTATAGATGTCAGTGAGACGCTGCTGGTTTCAAGTAGCCTCTGCAGAAAACCAGAGGGAAAACCACAAGTCAGAAAATGAATGCATATCAGCCGGTAGATCAACTGCAGGATGGAGCTGAAGGGCCGAACTGCTGCGGACGCAACAAATTACAGGAAAACTGATCATTCTGGACACACTGGACTTTTTGGGAAACGTGGTTTACATTTGACTCTGCTATGAAGGTGAAAAAAAAATATCTTTCAGAGAAATTAGTGCATTATATAGATCAATTTTTTACACAAATTGATGAATTTTAAGGAAATATTTGTTTTGATTTTATGGCTGAAGGCTCATGAAAACCCAAAAATACAATTTATCAGAGTAGAACAATCACATAAAACCAATAAAGAACATTTTCAGGCTCACATTCAATAAGTTAGAAAAAAGGTTCTGTCGACACTCGTTTGTCAGATTAAATTTTTCATTAAGCCCAATAATAGTTTTTTAATTGGTCTGATATTCTAATTTTAAATGCATTTTTTATTAGCTATTAGCAGAAATAAATCCTGATGAAGAAAAATAACTGTGTTAATACATTTGTCTCTGTCTAACTAATCTGTATAATGTCTTTCACTTTTACAAATAAACGTCTGTATGTCAAGGAAAAGTTTAGTGGAAGGAAAAAGTGCGGTAGAAAAGGTGAATGACTGCAGCCTGGAGAGGATTATGAAGTAAAATTTGTTGAAGAGTTCAGGAAGCAAAACACAAAAATCTGAGCTCCAAGATGGACGAACACACAGAGATATCCAGTTCTGAACCAGAGACAACGGAAAAGAGGTGATGGTTCAAAACCCTTTTTTCAGATGAGACTGAAATGTACATTTTATTGCATTAAGATATCAAGCTACACTATAAAAAAACACAGGTGATCCAATTTTAAAAGACTGAGTTAATTTGTTAAAATAAATCAAATTAAGTGAATCCAGGCAAATATATCAAACTTAAGTTATTATGGAAAACAAATGTAAATAAAGTAAATCTGAGAAACTTAAATTAATTACATGTATAATGAACTAATTTTTCTTTCACAGTTGAAGCTTCATTCTCGTTTTTTTCGGTCAGAGGCTCAGAAACCAAATTCCAGATCTGCTTCCGCATCCGGAGTGGCATGTCCACTGGTGGTTCTGGTCCAACACGGCCATTTACCAGAACATTTTAGCGCACTTCCTGCTTCCTTCAGCTGGAAAACATTACAGAGATCCAGATTTCATTTTCCAGCAGGATCTGGTACCGACCCACGATACCAGAGGTACCAAAAGCTGAATCCTGGCCCGTTCCACACGGCTGCGAAAACCTTTCCAGGAACCTCAATTTAAGATTTCCATCAGCTTTAAGCCACAATTACCAACTGTTATCTGACAGAACAGCTAAAATACTGAAATCTGATCCAGATCAACTATATTCTGATTTACTGGGAAGCTCCTAGAATGTAAAACGGGGCCTGAACTCTAAAGAGGTCATGGAGGGACAGTAATGGATGAAATATTGAATAGAGAGAGAGGAAAAACTCATTACAAGGTAAAGAAAAACACTTGAGTTAATTTCATGGACTAGTTCAGAGCCAGAACAGGTGACAGAAGGGGAGCTGTCCAATATGCAGGCGGACTGGCCCCCATCAACTCCCTGCGTGTGAATGAAATAAATAAACAATGAATGGTCCACTCTCCTCGCTCGCAGCATCCCATCTCATGCATGGCTGCCAGTGATGGTCTGCTGGGTGTCAGCTTTTATTGGCACGGCACAAAGCAAGTGCCAAGGGTTCGGTGGGCTCGACTCCCCGCCGCAGAGTGTGGATAAAAGCAGAGCAAAATGCCTCAGCAGAGCTCAGAGGCATAGACATGTTGGGCTGGAACGAGGAAGTGCAGTGGAGAGGGGAGGGACTCAGGGCGCAGCTCCATGGGGCCGCCGCGGCGCTGCGACCTTCTGCACATGGAGCCGGGGAGAGTTGGAAGAACTTCATTCTGCAAACTCAAGGAATAGCAGGTAAAGTGACCTCCACCGCGCCTTTTTGTGTTTTTTTTTGTGTGTCGGGCTTCCCGCTGAACTCTCAGGCTGTTGGTGGAGCCAGCAGAGGCGCCTCGGTTCTGAAAGGAACGATGGAAACATTTGAGTCTGGAAAAAGCAGCTTCTCCTGTCAGTTTGGGTGCAGGTGCGCCTCAGCATCAGATCCCGGCTGCCGCCGCTAGTTTTTTTATAAAAGTTCATCTTGTTATAAAACTAGTTACTAAACAGAATCATATTTTAAAACTCAATGTGACGATTTTGTTTTTACTTTTATTTTCCGCGTTGTTCGCCACTAATTTATAGGAAGTAGTGGAAATGTTCCCCTTTTTTCCTATGGGCCTTTTTTCTTTTGGGAATGAGGATAAATTAAATAATTAAACATATAAATTAACTAGATTTTCATCAAAATACTAAAGTCGTGTGTGTGGTTTGGTTTGGGTTCTTGCGCGTTTCCTTATCATTTTAACGCGTTTAACTGCTCATGTAGCGGCACCTGTTGATACAGATGCGTAAACTCCAGATAGTCCAACAGAACATCTCTGAAGTTTCACAGAATAACCAAAACAACTTTTAGATTTTTATCAAAATTTAAAAAATGACATTCTAACTAAATTATGGGTTTAAAAATAAAAGTTAACTTTTCTCTCCTGAAACAGGAAATCAGTCCGCATCGAGCCGCGCTGCGCCGCATCGAGCCGCGCTGCGCCTTATTAAATAATCAATGAATCAAATCATTTTCCCCAAACCTCAAAACTTTGTATGTGTCTCTATTCTCAATTGAACCACATTTTCAGTTCGTTTCGCGTTGGAGGGAAGGAGAAGAAACAGGCGGAACTTTTTACACTCTGAGGTGAAAAGTTGTTCATCGACGCCCAGCAGATATAAAGGAAATGGAGGAAATAAAGTTGTTTTTATCTGCCAAACACTTAGAAAAAAATAGGAAACACTATGCTTTCAGACTTTAAATACAGTAAGCCTGAAATTATTATCTTTACCCTTCAGGTTTGATGCAGGAAAAAAAAGTAATAAATTCTAATTGATTACAAAATAATTAGCAGAAAAAGTTGAAAAATTAATTTTAAATCTAAAAATCTGCTCAGATTTGATAGTACCTTTAATTAAATCTTACTGTAATTGTCGATGATATAATGATGCCAATTTAAAAAAAAGAGAATAAAATAGGTGTGAAGTGAAGGCAGTACCTGCTCAAATGGGGCTTTTTCAAAGCTCACATGGAAAGTGAAGTGCTGCAAAACCTCTCTGCAGATACATCATCTTTCTTGTCAAGAAGAACCAGAAGTGTGTGCATGTGTGTGTGTGTGTGTGTGTGTGTGTGTGTGTGTGTGTGTGTGTTGGTGTGTGTGTGTGTGTGTGTGTTGGGTGGAGGAAGACAGACAGTTATTAAAATGATTGTACTGTCTGAATAGCAGAGTAGTGAAGTGTGTCAGATGCAAATGAAGGAAACTTCTCCTCAGCGCACCTTTGCTTTCCCCTCCACCCTCCATGGGCTCCCAGAACACATCTGCTAACACCCTCTACCCACTTCCACCCATACATTTCATGAATTACTGATGAGAATCTCCATGTGTGTATATATGGAGAACAAAGGTGACTGTTATATCTTAATAACTGGTGGTAATAAAAGGCACGCACGGGAGAGAAAAATTAAATAATTCAGCTTGCCTAGAAAGGGCAAAAAAAGCAAAATAAAGGGGAGAAACATTTAATCAGTTTGGGGAGAAATTTCAAATTTAATTGAAGATAATAAAGTGTTTCTGTGCTGCAGCAATTAGGATTTTATTCTGTTTCCTGAATGCAAAACAGGAAAAGTACATTTTTTCTCCTTCTTGTTTTACTGCTAAGCTTTTCAGATAATTGTAAGTGTAAAACTCTGTAGGTTTTAAGTTGAGTGGAGGCAGTTTTTGCCGCTTTCTCCTGAGTATCCACACTGCGCTGGCGTGGTCCTCAGTATCTGTTAACGGTTTTGTTGTTTTCTCATCTCCACCCTGCTCCCTGGTGTAGCTTTTGCACCTCGCAATGAGCAGACGCATCAAACCAACCCCCCCAAACTCTACCCCCAGTGCTTCACCACCATCCAGCACACACACACACACACACACACACACACACACACACACACACACACACACACACACACACACACACACACACACACACACACAAACATGCAGGAGGAAGACCGAGAATTCTGTCAACCCACAAGCCTCTTCCTGCATCTCCCCACTTGACAAAACTACGACCAGAAACTGTTCCAGTCCCGTTGCGCTTTGTGTCAGAAGTCTTCTCGATGACTTCCACCCCACCAGCACAAATCTTCCACTTGCCCCCACTTTTCTTCAACACTCATCCACCAACACGCATGAGTTCGCTTTGTTTCAGACTGGCAACACTGAACTTGAATTAAAACATTTTGGGTTTTTCAAGGAGGGGAAAGTGGAATTTGAACTTTCCCCTGCCATTTTTTTTTAAATTAAGAAAAGCTGAAGTACAAATGAGACGCTAATAAAATTAGAACAAGTTAAAACTGTCTATCACATGTAAAGAGTGAAAACAGCTTGAAAATAGAGTCACTGGTTCAGCTGCAGAGTTACTTCCTGATTGTTCTACCCGGTAACTTCCTTTCCAAACGCAGAATGTAGGAACTCCATCTTAAGGTTTTTATTTGAGTCAAGATCTTCCCATGAACCCACCCCAAGAATCATCCATGTACCCTGACGAGAACCGAGTCCTGTCTGCAAACTCCTGATGCTGAACACACAAATCATCTGCACCATTGACCTTTGCCCCCGCTCCTCTCCTCCTCTTCCTCCTGTTCTCACACTTGCATCCTGGTTGACATCTGTAGGCGTCGAGCTCCCGACCTGACGCTGAGCGTTGCGACAGAGCGGACCCGGTTCGCTTCCCACTGTTCGTTCCAAATGTGTGGAGCCATCTGTCAGTAAAACAGGAAGGCCTAGGTTCCCCTTCTCCCTTGGGCTTGTTTCGCTATTTTCGGGAGCTTCACTTCTCCCTGTGTGGCTGCTTGGACCGGGCAGCCGCCCCAGCGCGGGCTTCTTGAAGTGGCGGCACTGGGGCCGAGGCTGTCGGGGCCCATCTGCTGCAGGCTTGAGAGCCATCCATTATTAATAGGGCCACGGGCGTTGGTGACTCCTCAGATACTCAGCCCTGGCCAGAGGATCGCTTCTGGATCGCCTCGGCTCGCGCAAAAAAATTAATAAATAAAGAGAACTTCTGTCCCTGGCTGTAAAAGTATTCACTCCCTCTGAACTTTTTTCTTCACATTTGGCCACATTAAACTTCAAAGTGTTGCAAAGCCATTTGAGGTGAAATGTAAAGGAGTGCATAATACTGAAGTGAAAATACTTTTTTAAAATAAAAAACTGAGGCGTTCAACATGCCTTGGTAGCTTAATCTGAGTCAGACTGGATGGAAAGCAACTCTGAACAGCATTTTTTACAATCATGTATCTTTCAGCTTTTCTAAAGCATGAATGTGCTTTGATGTAATCCATTTCAGTTCTTCCAGGGTTTTTATTCCCCTAAAAGCTAAAACTTTTCCACCGGTCTTTATATTTTTCAGACTCTAACAGGTTTTTTCCAGGATTCCTCTCTCATTAACTCCATCAACATTCATATCAACTCACAAAAAAAAGCAGCAGCACCAGTTTCTCATACGAGGAGACGTGTATTTTCAGTTATTGTATTCCTTGATACAGTTCAAAGTTTCTCTCGTTTGACAAGAGAAAATTCTTCCATGGTGTCTTGTCAACTCTGTCTGGTTTTCCAAGCTAAAACCACAGCATGATACTGCCACCACCATGTTTCATGTTTGTTGTGTTTCCTACATGTAAACTTCCTGTTTCTCTCCCAGAGTGCAGGTTAGTAGAGTGCATGGCTAACTGTTGTGTCTGCAGCTCCTCCAGAGTCGCCACAATCCTCCTGGATTTTATTTAGGAGTGTCAGAGTAAAGTGGGGTTGAACATTCATACATTATTTTCCCTCCAACTCACATTTCTACTCTTCTTGATGTTGGTTTCTCACAGGAAATCCTTCTAAAATGTGCAGAAGTTTTTTGCCCGTTCTCCTTTGACTCCTGGCCTTCTCGCGGCCGTCTATCTCTCAGCCGCCTTTCCTTCCTCCCTCTCTGTGATTCTGATGGTGTCTGCGCTCGGGCCGCGGACTCAGCGATGCATGCTCAGTAAATTAGAGAGAACACGAGCGTCGATCAGCCGGGCACGCCGGTTGCCCGCATCCCCCGTGACCCCGAGGCCAGTTAATTTTCTGCTTAATTTTGCGGCAGTCAGTTTGCATCTTTGGATGATTACGTGGCAGGAAATTAACAATAAATAACAAATGTGGTGTGAAAGCCCATTGCCACCGGCGGGCCCCTGCGAGCTGGAGCCGGGGCCACGATGCAGCTCAGCCTCTCTGTCAGGGCTTATAATGAAAACGTCTGTAATTCTTTGTAATGTAACGCGGGGGACGCTGGCTGTGACAAGAGTTATCCTGCTGTGCTGATGGAGTCACACCCTTAACTCCACTCAAGCTGCTTCTAACGTTGAACTTGATTAAACTTATACGCATATACATCTCCTCTGCAGAATACTTGCACCGCATGGAGACCGAAGAGGCCCAGGAAATGGCGCAGATGCCAGGTAAAAGCTCGCCCACCCCATGATTGAAATGTAGCGCACACAGTCGGGACAATAGGCCCACAAACAGCCCCTTTGCATCAGCAGGAGGTAATTTATCTCCTCCTGAGAGTCGTGTCGAGGGGTTGCATGGTGAGTGATGGGTGTTTGCTGGTGTGTGTCTCCCCCCTTCCCCAATCCCAGGCAGGGAGAGCCCCCCAGCCAATGAAGCGTCTGAGGAGGCAGAGGAGCCCATGGCCGTCCCCGAAGACCTGTCAGCCGGTTCCACCCACCAGCAGAACAACCGGGGGGACAAAGGTATGACTGCACCCACAGCCCAACTAAGAAATAAAGAATGACCTGACCTGCAGGGAGTCTAAAAAGTTTACATACCCCTGAGTTGATTGGAAATCACTTAAACTCCAAGGTTAAGCTTCAACATGGCATCTATCGCCTGCAATTCAGCTGAAAAACTCAAAAATCTGTTAACTATGTCCAAGCTTTCTGAGCCAGGGACAAAAACTGAAAATCTTAACTATTGTTGGGCCACAAAATAGTAAAAATAGAAAAATTAATTGTCTTTTTTTATATTTACCTGTTTGACAATCACAATTCACAAAATCCGCATATAGTTAAAGATCAAAAACATAAAATGCATTTAGACTGTTGTCTTATTGGAAGAAAAATGGGCAATTTCCTCATCTGTTGGGTCATCAATTTTGAAAGTTCTTCATTTTGTTGGCCACATTTTTTTACCGTTCTTGACTTGTGGTCTGGGGCCAATCGAGATTCTTTCAAGGGCCACAAATGGTCCCCAGGCCACACTTTGGACACCTCTGATCTACAAACTGATACTTTGCTGAAGCACCTTTTGGTTCAGTTAAACTATTTGAGGTCCATCACATTAATAAGGTATCTCTTCAGGTGGCCCCACATATTTTCAGTCCAAATTAACCTCTGGACTTTGACTAAGCCGTTCCACAACTTCAGTCTTCCTCTTCTGAAGTCAGACTTTGTTGACCTGAATGTGTGTTTGCACTCACAGTGATACTGACAAATAAAAGCCATCTTTATCTACAGATCTTTAACAGAAGCCGAATGCTTTGAGTCAAGACTGACAGAAAAAACAGCCCACAGCATGATGCTGCCACTTCCATCTTTCACTGCTCATCTCGATCACTGTTATGGAAGATTTGAAACTTACATCTTTGTCTAGAAACATGGATGATGCAGGAAACTGTTCTAACAACCAGTACTTGTTGGAACTTGTTCAGATGTATTTCACAGCCCTCTCCTGACTGATACTTTGATTAATTGTTTTGATCCTTTATGGCTTTAACTAATGGATATAGATTCACTGTGATGGCTGTTGAAGGCATGTAAAGATGCTTCAATAATGTATCAGTGTACATGTCTGCAAAAAGATTAGAGGAAATTTTCTTTTTTTTCTGCTAAAAAATTTAATTTTTCAGGTACATGAAACAGATTTTATGTCACATCTAAGGTGAAAAATATTTTCATATGAACTATCAAATTCTTATTTTCTACTGCAGTAGAAACTGGCATTTCAACAGGGGTGTGTAGACTTTTGAGAGCCGCTGTATGTGTGTGATGAAAATGTCCAATGAAGCAGCAAACAAACAGGAGCCAAAAACGTGAAAAACAACAACATTGCAGCAGCATTCCCAGTGCATCCAAATGAAACCACACAGACATGTGAAAATGTCAGGATCAAAAGCAAAACATAAATAAAAATGTTTAACTAAGTTAATCCCATGTAGCTCCATCGGGAGTACACCCGAAACCCCAGGAAAAACTCATTTAGAGATGCAAAGAGACACATTTAGGTCACTGGCAGGAAAGGTGGAGGAAATAGAGACGCCTTTGATCCATGGCATGTCATTAATAACCCCAATCTTAAGGAATACTTAATGTGGCCTTGATTTGAGTTTGTGAACATCAAGCAGGGGAATTTGATGGTGAAAATGGGGATGTAGCAAACTGAAGTCTCCTAACATGGGTGGTTTGTGAAAGAGCAAGAAATATTCATCATTCATGGGTGTCTAAGGAAAAAAACACCTGGAAAGAAGGTGAAGGTTTAAACTCTGTGGGCGTTTAAGTGGAAATGTTTCTGCTTAGGATGGAGAAGAAAATGGCTGTGTTCATCGTGACAGAAAAAAAAGGCTCGTCATGTGCTATCTGCAGCGTTCCACATATCCAGATAACGGCAAAGATTAGCAGCGCGCAGTCAAAAATAAGATGCGAGAGGAAACTGAAATAGGATGTGTAAGAGTTTCCTAAGAAGAACTTGCCATCAGACAGTTTCAACACTCCTGGAGATAAAGAGTTTAGGAGCAGGGCCAAAGCAGAAAGAGATCAGCACATCACTGCACCACAGAGGTCACACACCTGCGCACACACGCACACACACACACACACACGCACACACACACGCATATCTAAATGCATGCTTACTAACAAAGGCTTTCTCTTTGACTTTACCGGTGAGATGTCAGGAAGGGAACTTGACTCAGGCAGGAAATCTCCTTACACTTCGTTCTTTACAAGATCTGCAATTTCTGCTGAAAAATGTCAAAATGTTTAGCTCCAAATGTAGAAGAAAAACGTCAGTTTGTGGAATACATAGATGCATAACGCATATATATTTTTAATCCATGTACATTGGAGTGTGTGTGTATGCGTGCATGTGTGTGTGTGCGTGTGTGTGCGTGTGTGCGTGTGTGTGTGTGTGGGTGTGTGTGCGTGTGTGTGTGTGTGTGTGTGTGTGTGTGTGGGTGTGGGTGTGTGCGTGTGTGTGTGTGCGTGTGTGTGTGTGTGTGTGTGTGCGTGTCTCTGCACAGGGACAGAGAGAAAGAAGGGAAGTGCAAGTATCTGGTACATCTGTGCATGGCTGCCTCTGTGATAAAAGCCAGAATGAGTTAAAATTATCGCCCAGGATCATGTGCTGCTCAGTTCTCTTTAGTGAAAAAAAAAAAAAAACACAACAGGCAAATAGTGGACCGGGGGAGACTAAATGTGGGACAGGGAACCTCAAAGTATCGAAAGCTCGAAACCTCAAAACCCAGGTTGTTTCCTGTTGCAAATAACTATTCACAGTTCGGGATGGAGTTTGTCGGACTGAATAGTCACCGACTGCAAACGCACACAAACAGAAAGGAGGTTTAAAGGTCAAAGTGAGGCCCTTTTCTTATTAGCTTAAAATCAGGAAAAACCTTGAGTTGAAGTTACTCGTCTGCAATCTTCCTGCTGATTTTTTTTGTTCTCTTTCACTTTCTGTGATTCAGATGAAGCCTTTTGCTATTTCAGAGGCATGAGACTGAGAGGGAGACTAGTTCCCGAAAACATGGCTGCAAGTTTTTTTGTCGTGTGTGAGGGGAAAAGTAGGCTGTATTTAGCGTTCCTGCAAATTGAGCTCAATGTGTCGCTGCCGTGGTTTGACACTTGTGGTTCCTCTACCTTGCACACCAAGTTATTTTCAGGCTCTGAGAGAAGCACAGCAACTTCCAGCAGGCGCCCTGCGTCCACGCTACGCCGCTAACATCTCTGTCTGCAGCGAGCCGCTCCTCATATCACAGTTTATCATCTGCTCTGTCAGTAATTTGAGGATCAGCTCGCCCGTATATCAGGTTGTGACTTTTTATTGTTATCTTTTGTATTTGTCTATACTGTGATCTGACACCTGCTTCCCAAAATGAAAAATCAGGATGTGTGATCATGACAAACATAAAATAAAAGCTTTCTTCCTATTCCATATTTAGTCACAACTTCCTCATATCCATGAGACTTGGGCGGCTACCCAGCGCTAAAGGTTCCCTTCTCTACAGTCCAACCGATCATGGCTTCAACATTTTAGCTGCTTTTTTCCATTCAGGTCACCTCAGTTTAGGTTCATTTAATAACCATTTATATCATATCCAACTGGATCTAAATTGCAAAAGTGCTCCCATCCCATAAGATTGTTCACAGGTTGTCATTACATGTGGATTTTACTCCACAAACCAAAACAAAAAGCGTCACTATGGATGATCAACATTGCAGGACAAAACTGCAATGATCAATCAATCAATCAATCAATCAATCAATCAATCAATCAATCAATCAATTGATTGATTGATTGATCTCAGGCTGCTCTGGCCTGCCTGAGAGAAAAAAACAAAAACTTGTGGGTTTTCTGAGAGCTTCATGTTTTGCAACACATGCAGCGCAGTCTACAGAAGAGATGTTTGCCTGATTCTCTTTCATTGATTGAATCAATCAATCAATCAATCAATCAATCAATCAATCAATCAAATTTTATTTGTATAGCACATTTCAGCAAGGCATTTCAAAGTGCTTTACATCATAAACACAAGAACACAAAATCATGCAACATATAATAGACAATACATTGTTACATATTACATTTCAAAAACAATTCTAAACAGGTGTGTTTTTAATTGCAATTTAAAAGAAGTCAGGGTTTCCACTGTTTTACAGTTGTCTGGAAGTTTGTTCCAAAGTTTTGGTACATAGATGCTGAAAGTTGCTTCTCATAATATTTGTCTTAATAAATAGATATTGTTCCTTTAAATTGGACCCTGGTATTTATGGGAAAGCAACAGCAGCACTAATAACTTCCTATTTTAATGGTTCAAAAACCAAATATATCTTAATATGCACAGTGGAAACCGTCTAGTTGCTACCGCAGAAGCTAACATCGACAATCTTCCTTATTTCTGCTGCCGGCGCTTCAGCCAATCACAACCAAGAAAAATTAATGCCACTCCTTGATTGGCTGCTTTTCCAAAAGCCAGTCAACAGCATGTCTAATAGCATTGAGCCTAAATATTTCAACTTTTCGAGTATTTTAGATCTAAAAGATTCCAATGGTGGATTTTCCCCCAAATTATCTGGAGTCAGAAAATCTTCCACAGAAGAATCTGATAATATGAACCACGAATCGCCCCTTTATTTACGTTTCGTAATACACTCACATTTAATGTTTGAGTTATACTTATATTTCAGTTAAATATGCTTTGAAGTTCATGACGTTCCAGTGTGACAAACTTGATCACTTTAAAATCAGCAGGAAGACTTAACATTATCACTGAACTGCTCTGGCCTGCCTGAGAGAAAAAAACAAAAACTTGTGGGTTTTCTGAGAGCTTCATGTTTTGCAACACATGCAGCGCAGTCTACAGAAGAGATGTTTGCCTGATTCTCTTTCACATTCACATTAAGATGTCACAAATTCACAGAACATAACAGAAACTCACTAACGATTAGCGACCTCCTCTTCCACCTTCTTAGTTATATGTTGTATTAAAGGAACAATAGTCAAAATTATATTATTTAATCAAATACTGCTTAGCTGATATAAACATTAGTTTTGTGTTAAATAATTTGTTGAAAGTGAATCCAATGCATAAAGTAAAAGTTAACAGTCTAAGCAGAAACCATCAGGCTAAGCTAACACTAGTTAGCTGTGGAAGCTAGCAGCTAAAACCTGGGAATGTTTATACCAGAAAAACTAATTAATGTTATAAGTAAAGGACACAGCAAAGTACAAAAGGACAAAATATGACTAATTTCTTAGCTAACAATGATCTAACAACAAAAAATGGCTACATTAGCATGCTAACAGTTGGTGAAATGCATGAATTCAACAAAATTTCAAGTGTTTACATAAAATTGATTAAATATAGAATATAAATGAAACCCCGTCAACATGTGTTGCCCCCTAGTAAAGATGTGTTTTAAAAAAAACTTTATACAAATACTTTTTTTGTTATTGCATTACCCTTGTTTCACACTAGAAAGTGTGAGACAAAGTTAAGAAATATGTTTGAAAAAATGAAAAGTAAATATGCAGCAGAAAACTTTATTCACCAATGTTGGACTTCCTATTTCAGTCACATGGAGGCCCACACTGGTGCACTCTTCAAAATGGGAAAGAAAAAAGAACATTCCATTTAACTGCATAAGTTTAGGAAGGACCACCATAAAAATAGGTACTTATCTAAGCTTGTCCACTTTAACAGTTGGAGCAAGAACTAAAAAGTTGGACATTGGAAACAAAGTGCCAAGTTTACCTTGAACATCCATCATAAAGACGATTCAGGATTTGAATCATGGTTATATCTTAACTTCTGCTTTCAAACAACAAACCCTGCAGTTTATGACCTTCAGCTCAGCAGCAGTTGGATTTTGAGCAGTTGGATTCTTTCCAAAGAAAACCAGCAGCAAAAATCAAGGTTGGATGTTTCGGCATGAATTTAAACATGCTTTAAAATGTGGCTGAATTAAAGTTTTCATGCTTCATAGCTGTTGCCTCCAACAGGTACAGAAGAAATTATTAGATGGGTAAATACTTTGTCACATGTTGTTTTTTTCTCCTTTATTTTATCAAATTGTCATTTCAAAATTGCATTTTGCTCAATTTGCAGATTAATTGTGACAAAAAGAGCAAGAAGAGAAGAAATGTGTAAAGGATATAAAAACTTATAGAAACTATATTTGTCCTGATTTTTATATCAGCAGAATCATGGAAACATTTAGTTTGAGAGATTCGTGTCAGGATCCCTTTTCACTCGTAACAAATACAGGAAGTGTGGTTTGCAAAAATAAAAAAAGTAGTCAGAAAGAAGTTTGATGTGCAAAGCAGATAAATAAAGATAAATGCATTACGTGACTTGGTGATCCTTATATTTCACTTCACCTCCTGCCTTCTGTCAGCAGACCTTTATGTTCCCTCTGACTTGTTGCGATAAAAAAAAACTGTTTCAGTTACATGTTGTTTAACAATTCCTTTCCCGTGCTTCCCTTTCTGTCACTTCTCCATAATTCTTGGTATTTCAGTTAGACAGGCCTCTTTCTGAAGCTTCCCCTTTTTCCATAGATTCCTATATTTCATGATTTCCACTTGTTCCTCTTCAGTTGTACAAACAAAGACGGAGGCATGGGGAAATCAGGCTGCCGCTGAGATGTGCAAACCACAAGCTGGCGGCTGTGGACTTGCATGATCCGCCGGTTCTCTCACACATTTCTAAACGCTCTCTGGTGGAAAAAGTGGGAGCAAGCAGTTTATTGCGCAGAATGCTTCTCTTTTTTTCTGACCAGTGGAAAACCACAAATCAAATAAACATTAAAAAATTGCTTTTTCATTTGTATTTTGTCCTCAGAAGTGGTTTGCATTAATGAACCATGCAGAATTAGAGATTTTTGCCAGTTAATCGAGGTTTGTGCCTGCAGTGTCGGTGAGATTGAGAGCTCTCTGTTGCGCTGATAGTTTCTGCCTCAGTCCCTAAAGTTTGACTCTGCTTCCTGTGTCTCTGTTTCCTGTTTATCTGTCATTTGCTTTACCAAAGTGTGATAGTGTTAGATGATCGGCATGTTGCAGCATCTCATCTCTGACATCCTGAAGGCATGCTTTCCAAACTGTGTCCTGACCGACTCACGGGCCGTGCTTCAGCAAGCGGCCTGTTGGTGCGTAGGCTGCAGTCGCCTCACAGAATGCCTGAAATAGGAGGGAAATTCTTGAAGATTTGATGCAGCGCATGGAAACGCCGCAGCCTGACATTATCACAAAGCTGCTGTGGGTTTTTTGTAGCGTAGAGTTGTCGCATATAGACTCGTCTCCAGCTGGAGAAACTGAAATGATGATCAACTAAAGGTAGAGGGATCTCCATATGGTGCTGAAACAATGGAGAGTTTTATTAAAGTTTTCACACCTCCTAAAGATTTTCCAAGATTATAAACAAAGTATCTTATTTGGATCTTATGTGATAGACCAACACAAAGTTGTACAATATTTTAAAATACTAAAATACTTTAGTTAATTCATCCAAGTATCTTCAAAAAATCGTAGATCATGTTGCCGACAGGAAGGATCTCCAGTAGCAGTCAGTCCTGCATTGAATTTGAAGAGGCCTCTGGCTGAAGACTGCAGAGGCCTCTCTGCTGCCTGAATATTAAGGCAGCAGAGATGATATTTCACAGTAACATGTTCTGGATGACGTCATCAGTTGTTAGCAAGCTCTGCTAATCCACCTCATTTGCTTTGGCCACTCTTCTGTAAGTCTCCTTTTGGCCATAGAAAGTCGGGCAGAGAGACGTTTTAGCCAGGATATGATCATTTTCCAACATGATGGATGAACTTCCTCCTTCTGTCCCTCCTCTTCCTCCTTTTCAACTCCTATGGATTTGGGGTCAAAGTTCAGGCACTATTGAAGCTTATAAGATGTTAGTCAGCTGCTAAAAGTTGTAAAATTGATATATTGTTCCAAACTTAAGAAGCATAACTAAACTGAAACTAAAACAGTAAGATTAAGATCCTTGCAGCTGCACAGCATCCAGGACAAAAAGGAATCTGATGAATTTCACTCTAAAAGATGGTGGCAGCAGCATCGTGCTGCAAGTTTGTCCTTTTAAAGCATTAAAGGAAAAATTGATACAGCTAAATACAAAACAACATAGAGTAAGACAGCTTGTTGTTGACGGCCAAAGGAATCGATTAGATCAAACTTTTTCTTTGAATTGATCAGTCAAAGTTTAGATCTGTTACAAAGCTTAGAAATGTTATAAAACTGGTGGAGAAAGACCCCAAAAAATTATGTTTCTGTAAAGCTTTGAGTCTGAAAACAAATGCAAGTTACACTTTGTGTTGGTTTGCCAGATAAAATCCCAGATAAACACACAGAAGTTTGTAATTTCATGAGGTGTAAATACTGTGGCGAGTTTCTGTACATCAGAGCAGGGAGGCGCTCCAGAAATACGACCGGCTGTTTGTTCAATGTGACAGTTCATGTTTTTGAAATACAAGTAATCGCAAACCCACACGGAAACACTGGAGCAAAAATGATGAATAAAAACATTTTTAAAAATTCCTAAAATCAGAAATGTATTATTTTATAAAAGATGTATTTAAAGCAAACAGAAAAAGGGCTTCCAATCACCTGAAATAGACACCAAATACACAAAATATCATGAATTTGTTGAGTTTTAAAGCTGCAGAATTTAACTTTTATAAAAACACGTTTTTTACATATTTGTTAAAAATGTTGCCATGTTGGGACGGTTTGTTATGATCCGTCATAACAAACCGTTATGAAGAAAAGCACCACTCTGTTTCAAAAACAACCAACCAGAGCCAGGAGGCGGGTCTTAGCGCTGTCAATCATTCTCATGTATTTGCTGCTAAATGTGCTAATAGCGGAGAAGCAACTTCTCAGAACAGGAAAACAATTTATCTGCCGTCAGCGGGAGCTATGCTAACTAGCCTTCGCTTTCACAACAGGATCTGCTTGACCGCGCTAAGACCCGCCTCCTGGCTGTGATTGGTTGGTCTAGCCAGTACTGGTAGCACTGGGAGGAGGAAGAGGAGTTGATATGGTGACACCTTCAACAAATATGTAAAAAAAAATTAATAAATTCATGTTTTTTATAAAAGTTACAAACTGCAGCTTTAAGGTTCATTCTGTCAGGACAATGTAAAGATTTACTTGAATAAACCAGAATGCCCATCTTCTAGAGTTTGACATGATAACAGAAGTTTTCTCGTATTCTAAACCGTGGCCCCCCCTTGCCCTCTCTTCCAGCCTGTAACATTAAAGTTGAGGCTCGCAGTGATGAGGAGAGTGGGCTGGCCTGTGACATGATGAATGGCGTGGAGGAGGAGGAGTGCGCAGAAGACTTGCGCGTGGTCGACCCCTCCGGGGCCAAGCTGAACGGCTCACAGCCGAGTCCCGAAGCCAAGGCCTTCTCCTCGGCTGGCGGTATCCGGCTGCCCAACGGGAAGCTCAAGTGCGATATCTGTGGGATAGTTTGCATTGGCCCCAATGTGTTGATGGTGCACAAGCGAAGCCACACCGGTAAGCCGCCTGCAATGTTTCTTGCTCTTCCTCTGCACCCATGTTGACTGTCAGTATGAAAGGGAGAAGACTGTGTGCTGCTGTGGCACTTCCTGTTGTTCAAGAAAAACTCAAAAGCTCTGCACCACATCTGTTTTATTCAAGTAAATACAAAATGTAGCACAGTGCCCTGAACTGAAAATAATAAAAGCATACTTTCAATCTCAAAAACATAATGAGAGCTGCACCAATCAGCCAATCACAAATGGATGATTTTCTCTACAACTCAATTTTTTTCCCAATTTTTTTATTAAATGCATAAAAACTATCATTTTCTATCTGCACCTCATCAAACAGCATTTCTAAATAATGCAATTCAGATAAATTGGAGTTGTAATTCTTTCCCTTTGCAGAAAAATCTGGATCAACAGATGAAAGAAGCAGCAATAATCATCTTCATGTGCAGCTCAAATGTTTAAAAATCTTATTTTTAGGACATTTTTTTTCCTCTTATGTTCTAAAAGAAATCAACACTGATCGATGCATCTCCTCTCCTGTCATGCCTGAAAGATTCTCAGCATCACATTTAACATTCATCACTTTTCACTTAAATTTCTCCTAATAACTGCCTGACAAACACTAATTATCCATTAGTTTCTGAGCCAAAAAAATAAAAAAAATGCACCACCCTGCGTTTAGAAGCAGGATATCTGCTGCAGTTAAATGGAACTGACTTTAAAACGACAATTATCTGGCTGTTAAAAAGTTTTTCAGAAATTCAGAAATGATATGCTATTGTAACGGAGCCAAACCAGTGGTGGGGAACATCTGCGAAAAAGCCACTTAACTGTCAAGCTTTTGAAACTAATGAAACTCAAAATGGAAGAAAGGAACAGTCAACTAATGCAAATGCAGAAGAAAGTACGCTAAGAGATATAATGAAACGGGTCCTATTTAAAAAAGAAAATATTCTCCACTACGTCTTTTGCTCCTGAAATGCATTTTTAATGAATTTCCCTTTATATTTTTGCTGCTTCACTGGCGACTCTTATTTTATGGCGGGCTTTTGAAAGAAAAAAAAGGCCATATTATAACGTCTTCAGAGAATGCCACAACACGCGGAAAGGCTGGATATTGGTTTATTCCAGAGGCGCTGATCAGGAAGACTGGCTCTCAACACAAAGTGTTTCCTTCGCTTTATTCAAATGAGGCTGAATTTGCATGGTTATTTTAGAGACGAAGAAGAGGGGGGGAAAAATGAGATTTTCAGATCAAATTGACCTAAGCAATGGTGCATTACGGAGCTGGCAGGCTGAGTGTGAGAGGCTCATGTTCGATCAGAGCGCCGGGGGGATGAGGGGGACGCGGGGAGATGGAGACCCTCCCGCCGGCTGCTGGATCGCTGTCGGCCTCGGCGACGCTCCATCATCCAGCGTGTTCTGGCGCCCGGGGCGCTTGTAGAGCAGTGACCCTGCACGTCTTTGTGCTTATCCACATGAAAGACATTGAGACAGATAAAAACATACAAGCTGAGCAGCTTGGTTTCTGTTTGGGTGCATTCAAAGTGTCTGCTCTCTGTCTTCAGGCGAGCGGCCGTTCCAGTGCAGCCAGTGCGGCGCCTCCTTCACTCAGAAGGGCAACCTGCTGCGTCACATCAAGCTCCACTCAGGGGAGAAACCCTTCAAGTGTCACCTGTGCAGCTACGCCTGCCGCAGGAGGGACGCCCTCACCGGACACCTGCGCACCCACTCAGGTGAGCATCAACACACACCCACACACACACACACACGCACACACACACACACACGCACGCACGCACGCACGCACACACACACACGGTGGTTGTAGGAAAACTGAGGACAGAGCTGTGGACTTCTGCTGTGGACAAAGTGAGACGTCAGTTCTTTATAAGAGGAAGTTGACAGCATGGCGATATGGTGTCACTTTTTTTCTTTTTTTGCAAATGCTTTGCAGAAGTATGTGCTAATGAAATCGGGTGTAAACATCGCGCTCGCTCTGAACAGTTTAACGGAAGAGAGGAGGGATAACCTGCACGGCTAACAGCCATGCATGTGCAGACGCTCAGCGTTTCTCTGCATTAGGAGAACCAGAAGAGGCGAAGTGTAAAATGTCAGATCTTATCTGGAATGAATCTGTTTTCTGCAGCACATTTTCAGGCGACCACAGGCTGACTGGTACGGATAGAAACGATGAATTTAAATTAAATGACTGCAGTGAAACTACCAAGAAAATGCAAACTAAGGTAGACTTCATCTCTGATTTTATCTCAACCAAAATATATTCAATACAAATTTATTTTAGCTCTTACATTATGTGTTTCAGACAAACTACAAATTCTCCTGGTCAGTTAAATAAAATGTTGATTTGAAAAAGATAAATCAATAAATAAAGTCTAACTTTATATAAAATATTTTATTAAATTTTTCAAAAATGCATATTTATTAATTTTTTACTTTTTTATTTCCCTTTTCGATATAAAGTCAACTTAAATAATGCATTTATTCACTGTATATGTTTAAAGTATTTCATTTTTCTAAACAACTCAATGTAGTTTTTAAATGAAGCATATCTATCATTTTTAAGTTTGACACTAAAAACAATATAAATTAACTAAATAAAAACTGAATTAAAAATGTGAATTGTTTTAATAAACTATTTTCAGAAGTATTTTATTTTAAATTAATTAAATTTTTAAATATTCGGTTTTGTACAAAAATCTACTTTAAACATTTATTTTTTAAGTTTATTTCAATATTTTTTTCATTCGCAAAATAAGTAAATCATATTCATCTAAAACTGGCTTTTTAAAAGAAGCTAAAAAGAAAACTTTACATTTTTTGTAAATTTTTTTTTGGTGAAATTTAAATAAGTAATCATAATTCTTTATTTTAAATAGATACTTGACTATTATTATTTATGTTTTAAAAGACATGTATTATACATATTTGGACACTGCTTTTTTTCTATTAACATATTTAAGAAATAAAGAAACAAGACTGAGAAAAGTCTTTTGTATTAGAGGAGAAATGAAATAATGATATAATTGCATTTTAGGAATTTAATATTTGACTAAGGTTCTCATTCATCGGCATTTAATTCAGATACTTTCAGACAAAATGTGGTTTCGTGAGCACCTTGATAGCCCGTTTTCTGTTTCTTTGATGTATTTCAGTTGGAAAACCGCACAAGTGCGCCTACTGTGGCCGGAGCTACAAGCAGCGCAGCTCCCTGGAGGAGCACAAGGAGCGCTGCCACAACTACCTGCAGTGCATGGGCCTGCAGAACAGCATCTACACAGGTTGGTGGCGCCGAAACGCTCCCCAATGTCCATCCAACTCTGAAACATCATACCAACAACACTGATCTGTCTGAGGGCCTTTATGATCCACATGATGATGACTGGAGGCATATCTGCGTAGGATTGATCCTCTGAATGCATGAGCAAATACCAAGAGCTTCACATGTCAGAACAATCCGCTCTGAGCCCCACACACAGAAAATACATAGGAATACCACCCGGCATGTGTCACTAGGCTCCACCTCATCACCTGATAAGAAAAAAAAGGACCAGTTCAAAATTACTCTGATGTTGAAATCTACTTCTCTGTCTTGCTTTCCAGTAGTAAAGGAAGAAAGCAGCCAGAATGAGCAGAGGGAAGACTTAAGCCAGACGGGATCTGACAGAGCCTTGGTGCTAGACAGACTAGCTAATAATGTAGCTAAGCGTAAGAGCACTATGCCCCAGAAGTTTGTGGGTAAGGGCTGCAATCTGCTTCTTTTGTGTGACTTAAAATGCTTTTACTGTTGTTAGCTAAATAGTTGCAGCTGAAATGTCCTTTATGTTCACCCTGCCACCTCGGCTCTGCACAGTGCATGCATAAAGCCTGTTTGATTATCTAAAACAACTTTTAGATTAACAAGAGGGAACATGAAATACAGGTATGAGACAAGGGTTTTACTGACAACATGAAAACATACAGTGCCAAGCAAAAATAGTCACACATTTTTCACGTTACAATCACATTTAATGTATGAAGAAAGATACTGGAAGTCCAGGTTAAAGGAGACGCAGCAAACATGAAGAAGATGTTCTGGTCGGGTAAGATCAGAAATACTGTCATGTTTTTAGTCTAAATAAACTTTTTATGAATTAAAAACTAGGACATACCAATAAATCGGCCCTAGTAAATTAATTTTGGACATTATTTACATGAGATCTGATCTCATTTAGCTCAGCCTCTGTCCACCAGGTAATGTCTGCACATGTGCAGTTAGCAATAGTCACCGCACTGTAGCCAAATTATTTCATGATTTTGTTGCTATATTTAGAGACTTTTCAGACAAAATAATCTGCATTGGCCAAAATCAGTATCAGCAGTTCAGGCTTTTGTAAAGATCAGTGATTTGCGCCCTAAAAAGCTGAAAAGTCACCCAAAACCAACTATCCCTACCTTAAAACATGGCAGTGGGCTCATCATGCTGTGGGAATGCTCATCTTATTATGCATAGAGTGAAGTACAGAGTGACAGCCTGGAAAAAAAAAACATTTTAGAGGCGGCAAAACACATTAGCTTGGACCTAAAGCCAGTAGAGAATCTGGAATTATGATGCAGAAATTAAGTTTTTGACTGGTACAAAACAAATTATATGAGTTGGAAAAGTAACGCTGGGCATGAGGTAGTGGCAGCATCATGCTGTGGGGATGATTTGGGATATTAGAGGCTGCAAAAGTGAAACAGGAAATAAGTTTCAACTGTAAACATTTGGCAGGTGGTTCTTCATAGTGCTGACCGCAAGAAAAGCCAGAATTATTAGATTAGAACTCATAAAAGGAATTATTTTAGGAAGGAAATATCCGTTATTGTCCTGCAAATGGGGAAATTGAAGCAAGTAGACTCATATAAATAGAATATAAAATATATAAAACAGAATAAGGAGTTTAAATACTGTGCAGTGAGCAACATAAACATGTTGCAAATAAATTGTGTACTCCAGTACAAATGAATGTTAGTTTATTAAAAATGTGTGAAAAAATATCGATTGGCTGATCAGATGCAATCCCTCTAAAACAAAAGGCTTGTGGCGTTAAAAAGGCTGAAAGGTTGTGGCTGCCTTTGCACGGCACTATAAGTCACTTTCTGAGAGCGTTAGGCTCAAGATGTGACTGAATGGCTGGGAGCCGCATGAAGCATCTGCGTCTGTTTCTGACCCACCAGGAGACAAACGTCTGTCGGATCTGTCGTACGACGGCGGGTCGGGAGAACTCATCCAGCCGCACGTCATCGACCAGGCCATCAACAGCGCCATAAGCTACCTGGGGGCGGAGTCTCTGCGGCCGCTGGTCCAGACCTCCCCGGCGCCCTCCGAGGTCGGCCTCGGCGCCATCTACCCGCTGCACAAGCCGGCCTCGGAGGGCCACGTGGGCGCCGTCCTGTCGGCCAAAGACAGCGCGGCCGAGAACCTGCTGCTGCTGTCCAAGTCGGCGCCCAGCGACAAGGACGGCTCGCCCAGCCACAGCGGCCAGGACTCCACCGACACCGAGAGCAACAACGAGGACCGGACGGGCGCGGCCACCGGCCTCATCTACCTGACCAACCACATGGGCATGAGGAACGGCGTGCTGCCGCTGGTCAAGGAGGAGCAGCAGAGGTACGACGCCATCAGGGAGGTGGCCGCCGACGGCTTCAAGGTGGTGACGGCGGACGGCGAGCAGGTGAGAGCGTACCGCTGCGAGCCGTGCCGCGTACTCTTTCTGGACCACGTCATGTACACCATTCACATGGGCTGCCACGACCACAGAGACCCCTTCGAGTGCAACATCTGCGGCCACCGGAGTCAAGACCGCTACGAGTTCTCGTCTCACATAACCCGCGGAGAGCATCGCTGATGAGCGCCCCCTTCAGTCCACACTGCAAAAACACAACATATTACATTTGGTCTACTACCTTCTCGTGGATATACCGCAATTCCCATTTCAGACAAGAATATCAGTATCGGACAGAATCGGGATCGGCAGGTCAGGCTTTTTAAAATCGCGATTGGCCAGAAGTTTTGTTTTATTTCAAAGAAATTGGAGAAAAATACTTTGTAAAATTTAGTGTTTTTGCAGTGCAAAAAAGACAAAGCAAATACCATAAAAACCAAACATCTGCAATAAAGGTGTTGAAATACATGATGTAAAATACACTCCTAATGTCTGGGAGTTTTTAAACCATGTTGCATGTTTGTTGATATATAAATATATGAAAAACTTCTCTTTTTTTATTGTTTTAAATAAAATGTTTCCGAAAACATGAACAACTGTTGTAGAAAATGCAGCCAAAAATATAAAGGGACCTTTTTCTTTTTATTAAAATGAACAAGACTTGCACCAAAATAAAAAAAGAACAAAGAATCAGTGCAAACAAAACACAGCTAACTGGAGGTAAATACAATCAGCAAAAGGTGAACCCAGAGTCCTGTAAAATGTCTCAAGCCGTCACCTTTTGCTCGTCTTTGTGGGATTATTTATAAAACATTTTCATGCTTGTCTGTTTTTTTATATTTATTACAGTGATTGATGTTTTGTGTAATAGAGTAGCATCTTTTTTCTGTTCAGCTGTACTAAAAATGTGTGTGAGAGGAATTTGTGTCTGCTGCTGGAGGCTGTTCATGTAAAGGATGGAGATCTGCTGTATCGGAAACTTAGTTAAGTTACCATCGTCTGGAGAGAGGGTTACGCTTTCAAGATGTCAATAAAGGATATTTTATATATGCACACAGAGTGGCTAAGTTTTCTGTTTGTAAATGTCAAAACGTTTAAAGTCAAACATAAATGATTGGTGGAGTTTGGCTCTCAAACTTCTCCTGAAATAATTAAGTGTGGATGTCATTCAAGACGCCGCGCAGTTCAGAGCTGTCAAATAAAATTCAATTAGACCGAATGACTGACGTCCAAGTCAAGAAATGAACACAAGGGGCTGAAGGAAAATTATTAGATAGATGGAAATAAATGAAAACTCCTCATAATTAAAGTAGTGTGTTTTTACAGAGCCTTCAAGACTTCCTATAACATCCATCATTTTCTATGTTTTTATTTGATAAACTACCAAAATCCAGATAAATCTCAGTCATTTAAAATACAAGGAAAAAGTTAATTTATTAAGATATTTTTGATTTTTAACACTAAAAATCACATGTTGGGTCATTACTTTGATATATTTCAAACATTTATTTTTGGCCATTTTGATTATTTTCTCAATGAAAACCTATAAAAAATAATTTTACATTAAAACTAAGATTTTCAACACATAAATGTACCTGAAAGTAGAGTGAAAAAGTATTTTCCCCCTTACAGTTTCTCAGCATTATTTTTTCAGTGTTTCAAATGATCAATTAAAGATAGTAAAAGTAACTAGAAGAAGTGATTTTAATACAATGATTTTATTATGAGTATTATTTTGACTATTTAAAAACCTGAACCTAATAACTGGTTTTATTTTAACTTCTCTGGGGGATTTTCAAGCATCCACAGCCTGCTTAGGGTCATGCTACAGCCGGTCTGGACTTCTCCTAGGAAAGATGTTAAAACATCAATCTTTGTCTAGTTAATCTATGTAATCTGCTGAAATAAATCAACTTTTCAATAATATTCTAATTTATTAAGTTTGTACAATGAGCTTTAAAATGCTGAGGGAAACATAGAAATGACAAAAGGACCAGCAGAGCTAATTACAGGTGAGTGGAGGCAGCAGGGGAAGGAACAGGTGAGTGAAGTGGGGAAATGATGAGCAGCTAAGATCAGGAGAATAATGGCAGTCTGAGGCAAGAAACTATATAAACAGAAAACCTGAACCATGAACAGAAATAATCTATCAAAAAAAATCACAAAGAGAACAACTGAACTTAACACAAGGAATAAACTACAATGACAAGACACTAAATGTCCTGACCGTCATACTGCCACTACCGTGTTTGACTACGGCGTTCTTTTCTGAATTGATTTATTCCTTGTTTTCCTTCTTGCTCAGCCTTTTTCTTATCATGTCATGAACTCTGATCTCAACAAGTGACGCTTGTTGTCTTTGTGTAAAATGTGGGTTGGAAAAAAAAAGTTCTCCACTAAATGAAGATTAAGATTAAAAAATATCAATGTCCTCTTTTGTCTTGCATCCAAAGATTTCTTTACATTGGTGCATAATATGCAGCCTTTTCAGGTCTTTTAGCCTCAGACCAGTTCTAACTGGACCTCAGTGTGGCTAATGGACCAAGACAGTAGCCGTACTTCCATCAATGTTTATTAAAATATCATATTAGAAAAGGCTGATGGAAAAAGGAAGAGTTGGAATAACTTCCTCAATTTTGCAAAAATCTCTTTATTTTCTCTTGAGAAAGTTTTGAGACGGAAACACATTTGCTACTAAGTTCTGACAAATCAAACACCCCCATCTTTTTGTGGGTCTGTGGGTTACCAGACCCACAGACCTTGAAAACTGTAAAAGTCCAAACCTCTGTTGGAGAAAAGGACTTTCTCCATTTGTCTGACTTTCTTCCATGCTAACTTGCAACGTCAACTTCCTGTTTATTACAGTCATGTGTAGCGCCAACATCTGACAAAATTACCCTTTGCATAGCCTGGTTCAGTCGCTCCAAACCAGTAGATGGAAACATCTTGCATTTCCTTTTCTGTGACATTTTAAATTTGCTCTGTGTTGGATGAAAACATGGCTAATGTTGTTATAGTCAGTTACAGAACCATAAAACATATGCACTCAATACTTGGGGAATTTGCAGGCCAATCAAGCGCACTAATTCCTTGGTAGCGATTGGAAAATCTTCTTTGCTTTCGGCTTTTCCCTTACAGCTAATCATCTCTATTTAGTCCCAATTGGTACTTTTGGAAACTGAATCACTGAAATAATTTGTTTTTAATAGCATTCTGATTTGTTGAGATGCACCTATATTGGGTAATCCTCCTGCAGAGGAGGACCGGTTTTAAATAACTGCTGGAAACATGACGACGCACGCTGAGAAGACGCCCCGGTGAAGAGGACAGACAGAAAGCAAGGCCAGGCCTGTAGAAGGGCAGGGGGGCGGTGTGAGGGCCAGGCCTGTCTGGAGAGACGCAGTCAGGGCCAGCGTAGGAACTGTGCGGAGCTGCGAGGAGACGGCCACCTCCAGATGGCGGCTGTTTGATTGAACAGGAACGGGAAGCAGCTGCAGACAACGTGGAACCCCCTCTCTGCACCCATGCTTGATTGGGACTCTGCAGGAGGGGGGAGTACTATTTGCATGAGAGGGATATTCTGGCCAACCAAATCTGGCCCGACCCGAATCCCAAATCTCACTTCCCCTTTTCGACCCTTTGCTGACTAAAATACCCTTCAAGAAGCAGACTCAACCGATTCCAGTTGTGGGCTCGTCAAGATCCGAATATACGAAGCATTTCAGCGTTTACGGGACACTTCCCTGCATATGATTAAACTGCAAACCCACCAGACTTCTCACTGATATGAAATATAGAGTCAGCAGTAAAAACGTTTCAGATATATTTCGTTTGAAGTGTAAGAAATTTTTTTTCCCTCCAAAATATTTTCTAAACACCCTGGAAAATTATGATCAGATCTGAAAGTTACAAAACACAGAAACTGTTTTTTTCTCCAATTATTCACAAGACATTTTGATGAGCTGAATATTTTTAATTTGCTTCATGACGGCTGTTAGCCACTTCTGATTTATATTATACCACATAAGTACATGCAACCACATGAACCTCCACATCTATTTAGTTAAGATGTTTGAAAATCCTCAAAATAAATTCAGATATTTTGCAGAAGTATAATCTCACACTGAAATACTTTTAAAAATTTAGAAAAATAAAACATTTAGGAATAATTTTTATTGATCTCCTGTAACCCAGCAGTAAAGGGTTGTTTCCACTGCATCTTTTTTTCATAATGTCAAACCAGAGCATGTATTTCAGTAAACTGTAGTCTTATTATTTTCCAGAAAATTTCTCGTTTTGACTCAGTTACTGTTGTTTGTATACATGAATCATATCCAGCTCAGCTATAAATACAAACAAACCCACATATTCTCTGCAGTCAGATCTTGCCTTTGTAATATTGTGGAGCAACAGACGAAAAACACAGATCAGGAGCAGATGTCAGCAAACAAGATGAGAGAATTTCACTACCAAACAATACTTAACATAACTTATTCCTATGATGCTACATTAGAATATTGGATTTATATTATTCCGTGTGTAAAATTAAATCATTTCAGTTTTTTTTTTCAGAGATAAAATAGTTATGATGAGGATGTAACCAGTGCAGATTTCAGGCCTTATCTTTCAGTTCAGTGACACCAGTGGTTGGTGGTGGAAGAAACCAATGCAAGTGGCTCAAAAATATTCTGAACTGAATTCTCCGGCGGAGAAAAAATAATTTTTTGACTTACCCAATTGCTACCATTTGCTAACAGTTGAAAATGATTGTAAATAAAATCAAAATAAATATAATTTGGGTAGATTAAATATTCTTTAATTCAGAAAGTATACTAAGGTCATGTTTGCTGTGAATTTGCGAGTTTCTGGTGCAGCCAGAAATCTGACACACACAAGTTTCCGCTAACAGCCGTGATGGACGACGAAGCTGCTCCTCTGGGCCCCCTGGGGTGAATCTGAAGACTTGTGGTGTTCGAGTGACACTGAAAGGAGCTAGCCTAACAAAGAAGCTATTCAAGCCTGAAATAGCATCTAAATACTAATGTAGCAGCTAACGCTAATGTCAGTGTCCAAAGTCCACATTTTTAATGAAACTCCATAAATGATCATCAGTTCTGGAAACACTGGAAAGCTGAATGGGTAAAATAACACCCTGCTCCAATCTGATGGCGGAAGAACATAAATAACAAATTAAAAACAATAAATGTCTTTGTAATTGTGCTAATTTGTCATTTATTTCATAATCTCGCAGTAAAAAGGGTTCATAAATTGAAAATGTTGCTGATTGTATTGATATATATGTTAATTATAAAGCAATTAATTAATTACAGACCCTGCAATTAACTTGATAAAAATGATTAATGAAGTCCCACCACACACACACACACACACACACACACACACACACACACACACACACACACACACACACACACACACACACACACACACACACACACACTTAAGATTCTTTCTGGAGAGGTGCTGTGTAAGTCGTGAACGCCCCGGCCCAGATGTGAGCACCACTACAGGCTCTCACCATATGGCACACTTTTCAGCTGATACTCACCGGACCCGATGGATCCCGTCAGCACCAGAGGAATTCTGTGCATCTGTCCCGGTCCAGCTGTGAGGAGTCCCCGTGTTCGGAGAAAGACCCCGGGGTGTGTGTGTGTGTGTGTGTGTGTGTAGGGTGTGTGTGTGTGTGTGTGTGTGTGTGTGTGTGTGTGTGTGTGTGTGTGTGTGTGTGTGTGTGTGTGTGTGTGTGTGTGTGTGTGTGTGCGAGCAACTGATTTCACTGTTGGCTAATTCAACAAAGTTTCAATAGAGTGGCCAAGCACACAAGTCTGAAATATTTATCAGGGACTTGACAAAAAGATGAAAAATAAATGAAAGTCCTTTTTCATGGTCCTCCAGATTTTCAAAGATTTGCTCATTAATTCTGCATGAAAATTTCATTTAATTTGTGCACAGGCTGTAAAAGTCTGCTTACAGCTGAGCACCAAAGTATCCACACCCTGAGAACTTCTCCACTTTTATCACACTGAAATAAA